GTAAGAGCACCAGGTTTTTGGTTTTTTTTTCTTTTTTGTCTTTTTAAATAGTGTTTTAGGCTTCTGCCTGAAGAAAGCAGTGAGGGTGAGGAGCCAGGGCCAGACCAGAGGCTCACATTAAATCTCTATGATTTTGATGTTGGAGACACTGAAGAAGGTCATTTTGCTACACTCAGCTGTCTTAAATTACAGAACAGTGCAGTTGGTATGAACTTTAGGGGTTTTTTTATTGTTATGTTAATCACCATATATTACTGAACTTTAGGGTTTATAGTGAAAAGACACAAGATTGTCATAGCTCTCGAATCAGTGAATGAATAGCGTTAGTAAGTGAATGAGCCCAATATTAGAAATGAAACTTTTGGAAAGCAAAAAAAAAAAAAAAACAACAACAAAGAGGGAGAAAGCATAAGAGTATGATTTAGGTCAGAAAAAATACTTGCCTGATGTGAGGGTTATAACATTAGTGACAAGTAACAGTTTAGCTCAGATCAGGATGGGTTATTAAAGTCATGGGGGAAGCTTTGGGCAGAGCAGCAAAAAATTTACAAGCACACATAAGGAAAGGTACTGGAATTTTCAGAGAGGACCAAAACAGGTGGAATGATATTAGAGTATGAATTTGCATAAATTTTCTTATGTTGGTGCTACAAATGCTCCTTAAGATGTAAAGGAACGGGACGCCTGGGTGGCTCAGTCGGTTAAGCGACTGCCTTCAGCTCAGGTCATGATCCTGGAGTCCCAGGATCGAGTCCCGCATCAGGCTCCTTGCTCGGCAGGGAGTCTGCTTCTCCCTCTGACCCTCTCCCGTCTCGTGCTGTCTATCTCTCATTCTCTCTCTCTCAAATAAATAAATAAAATCTTAAAAAAAAAAAAAAGATGTAAAGGAACGTGGAAAGATGACCTGCCCTGATGATATGTTCTATCTTTCATTGCTCTGAGTGCTCTTGGACAGACTCTTCCTGAGGTATTGTCATGTTAATACAAATAATAGAAATGAGTAAGAATCCATGTATTTCTATATTGTATACCTGAAACTAATATAACACTGTATGTTAACTAACTGGAGTGAAAGTAAAAACTTTAAAAAATTGTATTTAACGCATTTCTTGAGCTCCTCCTGAAAGCCAGCACGGAACATGGTATACTCAAGTGGGGGGGTATGCTCCTCCTTCCAAAGAGCTCTTGAATAATGAAGTTGTAATAAATGCAATGGAGGAGAAACAGGTTGGAAAACGTCAAGGTGGGGAAATGAAAATATGAGTTTATAAAGAAAATAAGAATTTACCAAGGCATTTTTCTGCAAAGGAATTTTTGTAGGAAAAGTTAGCTGTGTATAGAAGAAAGAAATTTGTCAGAGACTCTTCTGCTCATTCAAGTATTCATTCAGGGGCGCCTGGGTGGCTCAGTCAGTTAAGCGGCTGCCTTCGGCTCAGGTCATGATCCCGGGGTCCTGGGATCGAGCCCTGCATTGGGCTCCCTGTTCAGTGGGGAGCCTGCTTCTCCTCCTCCTCCCTCTGCCTGCAGCTCTGCCTACTTGTGCAGTTCTATTCATCTACCTGTCTGGATTTCAATCAACCAGTCATCATTTATCTGTTATATACAAAGGCACAAAGATGAGTGAGAGCATGAAAACTGCAGGTACTTAGGATTTTATCTGCTAGGCTTTATGCAAAGCTCTTTATATCCAAGCATAGAGGTTAAGAAGGTTAGAGTCAAACAGAAGTGGTTCCAGTCCCAGCTCTACCACTTACTACTTGCGTGACCTTGAACTATTCATTCAGTGTCTCTAGATCTGTTTTCATCTGTAAAATGATAATAGTAATAATACCAATTTCACAGCACAAAACCAGGTTTTCTTAACAAAACCACTTTGCATGATGCTGGCGTGCGGCAAGTGCTTAGTCAATGCTGTTCCATTTTTATTACAACCTTTCTTTTATTCACTGCCCTTCCAGAGGAAGCTGTGGTTTACAAGTGTGCTCTGGTTGACCTCATGAGTGGTGGAGCCAGCCCTGCCTGGTTGTCTCATACTTTAGCCGACGGTGGGTGTCAGAAATAAGGCTGGAGGGGAAGGCAAGACCAGATGGCTCAAGGAGCTCAGGATGTTGAATTTTATCACACGAGCAGTGGAGAGCCACCATAGGACCTTACAGTTGAGCTTGACAAGATAAACTTTGCATTTTGTTTTTTTTTAATGTTTTAAAAGACTTTATTTATCTGAGAGAGAGAGAGAGAGAGACAGATAGTGATAGAGATACTGAGAGAGAGCACAAGTGGGGAGGAGAGGGAGAGGCCGGCTCCCGCTGAGCAGGGAGCCCAACGAGGGGCTCAATCCCAGGACCCTGGGATCATGGCCTGAGCCGAAGGCAGCCTGAGCCACCCAGGCGCCCCAAACTTTGCATTTTAGAATGTTTTTTTCTGGCAGCACTATGTTGAATGGTTCAGAGGAAGGAATGGCACTAGCTGGAAGCCAGTGAGGAGGCTGTGGCAGTGGTCCAGGAGGGAACGGGCGAGGAATGCACGCGGGGGGATGGATGGAATCGAGCATTTAGGCAAAGGTGGGATGCTGGTGGGGGGTGAGGAAGAGCTAGCGAGTGGGGGGCATTCAGCTGCCCCGGGGTATCTGGCTTCCTTGACTGGGTAGATGGAGGCAGCTTGGGCCAACATGGCGGATCCCAGAGGAAGGGACTTTGAGCATGGGTAAACATGGGTGCTTGTGAGTCCTTGGAGGGAAGCGTCTGCGCGGCAGTTGGACACAGGGAACTAAAGGTCAGGGGGAAAGTCAGGACTGCAGATGTTCACTTCCGAGTGGAAGATGGGGATGTGAAGGAGCTCATTCAGCTGGTCTCTGCTCAGCCCTGAGCACCCAGATCAGGGCTCCTCTCCCCACAGAGATAGGAAAAGATAGCCACCATCACCGCTTTCAGGGTGTTACACTCGGGAGGAGACATCAAAAAAGTCCCAAGTAAATGAATAAGGTAACTCCAACGGTCGCTGAACGCTAGCAACATAATGCTGTGGATAAACAGCAAGGTGGCTGACACATTGGATAATCTGCCATGAAGAATGAGAGAAATACTCACTTTTTAAGACTTCGCAGTTAGGGTGGCGCCTGGGTGGCTCAGTCGTCGAGTGTCTGCCTTCGGCTCAGGTCATGATCCCAGGGTCCTGGGATCGAGTCCCACATCGGGCTCCCTGTTCCGCGGGAAGCCTGCTTCTCCCTCTCCCACTCCCCCTGCTTGTGTTCCCTCTCTCGCTGTGTCTCTCTCTCAAATAAATAAATGAAATCTTAAAAAAAAAAAAAAAAAAGACTTCACAGTTAGGCAAGACAGTTCATTGTAATCCCATGAGGGAGACTGATTTTGCCACAGGACGAAATCATGATGTTCTAAAGAGAAGACAGACAATTACCCAAGACTGGGAGACCCTTTTAAGACTTGGGTCAGCCTCTAAGGTTGAAGCAGTTAGTTAAGAGGAAGAAGTAGAAATGAGTGGGTACTCAAAGCGTCAGGGACGAGGCAGATTCACACATTCTGAGTTTCATCAGGGAGACAGGTATGTGGGAATATGAAGACACTGTGTTGCTTTGTGTGTATAAAGGTACGCGTGAGGATATCATGTGCACGGTTCTTTGAGCCCCAGATGCTCACGGGGTGCCTGGGTGGCGGGTGAGGGGCCACAGTGCTGAGCAGGGTGGGGGCGGGCAGCAGGACGCGGCGGCTCAGAGAGCACGCAGTCCGGCGAGGCCCCCACGAACATGCTGAACATGCCTTCAGAGTGCGGAATGTGCTAGTAAAGGAGTGGGGCCCGTGAGAGAATCCAGGGGGACCCTAATCTCAGTTATGGGTCACCAACCTGCATTTCCAGGTCTGCTCCCAGATGACAACAAAGTGAAGCAAAATCAGGCGTGGTATTTGGAAAGTTTGAGACTCACTGGCGTTAAGTACTAAGTTAGCAAACCGCCTGCCAGAGCAAGTAAGCAGGTGCCTGGGGGAGATAAGCTTATGCGAGGAGGCCAAGAGAGAAAGGGAGGGCAGGGTTTCAGAGGAGGTGGCCGGAATGCCGGGGTTTGTCAGGATTACTCTGGGGGAAGCTGCCAGATGTCAAAGCATTGTTTTGGGCCCAGTGGCCACTCCCAGAACAGTGAGGACTGGGAGAGAGCAAAGAAGATGGGAGGCAAGGGCACCTTTCAGCCATGCCAGCTCCTCACCAACTCCCGCGCTCAGAGCGGGCCAACAGCACTGCACCATCCCGACCTTCCTCGGATGTGAAACTGCTGGGAGTGAAACGCAGGGCGGGCCAGAGCTGCCCAAAGGAGGACACCCGTGCCATCCTGTACGATGTAGAGAAAGCCATCTCCTGTCGGCCTTCGGGGATCTTCATTTTCCCCAAAGAATTAGAGAACCACACGGTCATTGGGAAGAAAGAGTTGTGGGAGCATAAGGGGGGAATGATCCGAGGAGATGCGGCGATGGGACGAGGAGAGGCTCTGGCCTCTCTATCAACAGTACGTTTCCAGTCGCCTTTTGCTACAGTCCTGTTGATTTCAGTGGTTCTCCCAGCAGATGGGCGGTCACGACGGTTGGGTGGGCAGATTGCAACGTGGGTTTATGAGAGAAAACAGAACCTGGAAAGGCTGGGGAAAGCTTAGGAAAGGTAGATCCTCGAACTTGCCCCAGACCTGGGGATCGCAGGACGGTGGACGTGTGGCCAGCTTCCCAGGCGACTCCTTCATGCATCAGTGCCACCTCCAGTAGGTGGTGCGGGACCTGGGAAGCAATTCCCAACTGAGCCTGATGATCTGTGTGCCCCCGGGCCCAACCCCAGGGGCAATGAGTCAAATTTCTGGGCGTGAGGATGACAGAGGTCATGCGGTCAGCTCCTGGAGCCCCATCAGGTTTGGGAGCCACTGGGCTCATGTGTCATATTCTTTACAGTATGTTTCTGTTAGAAATTCCGGAGTACCTAATTCTTGTTCTCTTTTCCCTTTCTACCAGGCACTGGGAAATCATGAATTTGATAATGGTGTAGAAGGACTGATTGATCCACTCCTCCAAGAGGCCAAATTTCCAATTCTGAGTGCAAATATTAAAGCAAAGGGGCCGCTAGCATCTCAAATATCAGGACTTTATTTGCCATATAAAATTCTTTCTGTTGGTGATGAAGTTGTGGGAATTGTTGGATATACTTCAAAAGAAACCCCTGTTCTCTCAAATCCAGGTATTTTCTACTTTTATAGCACTCATTGGTTGCAAACAGATGTGTTAAATCAGAGCTTGGCATGATTTTTATGGACTGTGGGTAAAAGCAGGAACAACGTGTGGTGTTGGGCAGGTAGTCTACTTAGGATAACATTGATGGTGAAACCAGTCTGGTGGCCTCCACGTTGTTCCAAATTACCTCTTAAAGACATTGCTCTTTTTTCAGTGAACTTCTTTTTTGACATACACAGTATCTTTGTTTAATTCAGTGGATTCAGAATTGGGCAAGAAAGCTGTTTACGTCCAGGGTTAACATTACAGAGTCATTCACTGGAGAATGAAACATAAGGCACTGCCCCTTTTCCTGTGGAGTCAGAGGGCCCAGAGCTAGGGTTTTACCTCAATTTACCTTACCTTTCCTTTTCTAGTATGATCATTATATGTCTAGTTAACTCTCCTTTCTCCCTGTTCATTATCTATTTCTTCTGTTTAATGACTTTGTTCAGTATCTGGCTTTCTGAGGAATACATATCCTTGAAAAGTCCTGTAGTATATATATTCTAATATAAATGTCTTATATATGCTATATTTCATACAGCGTGAACATATACATGCATGCATGTATAATCCTAAAGTTATTCAAGAAACATTTTTGAAATGTTTTTCAAAATGTTTTTCAAAACTTTTTCAAAAAACAGTTTTGAAACTTTCACAGGAACGCTTTGACCGAAACACTTTGGCAGCGAAAATGAAAGTGACATTTTTTCTAAATCATCCAAATCCGTTTTCTTCCCATATTTGAAGGAAAAAAAAAAAAGGGCAACTGACAGGGATAAAAGGCGCAGCACAGGGGATTCAGTCAGTGGCACTGTAGTCGCGTTGTGTGGGGAAAGGTGATAACAGCCCTTGTGGAGAGCAGAGTGTAAAGAAGAAAAAGAAACAGGAGCAGGAAACCCAGGAGCAGGCATTACCCAGAAGCAGGGGTTTTCATGAAGCATTAACTGGTAAAGGCCCTGCAGTCATTTAGCAATTAGAAAAGTGATCTAATGTCGATGCTAGAGTTGGTCCAGGCCACTGGGAACGACGGGAAGGCTGGCGTGCTGGGTCCTGAGCCGCTGTGAGGGCAGAGGGTCCTGCTGCCAGCCCGGGGGCAGGGCCCACACGGGGCTTCCCTGGGGACCGAGCCTCTGCATGCTGTGTGACACCTGGTCACCAAGGAGCTGTTGAGGTCCTTGTGGAGCTAGGAGGTGGCTGTGACTAGGATGAGCCACCGGCTTTCCCCGTGTTTCAGAAACACTCTTCTAAGAAGCGTGTGGTCCCATCTGCGGCCCCAGCTGACAGTCTCAGGCTGCTCCCCCCCCCCCCCCCCCGACACACACACACAGCCTAACCGCTGCTCCCCGCCCCGGGGATCTAACCTCCCCTGGGGTCTAGGGGGGCTGTGCCTCCGGCTTCCCGGGGCTTTTCTGCAAAGAGGACCACGCGGGGTTGGCAGAGTGAACCGGGCTGCCTGACGGCAGACAAGCCAGTTGCCAGTGTCGGGCAGGCTGGGATGACATGGCCGGGTTGCTGCCGCCCTTGCTCCTGCTCCCCTTGAACGCTCTTGCTCTGTGTCCCCAGCTCCCACAGAAAATCCCTCCCCCTGAGCAGCTCCCCCGGATAACATTTTTCCCTTACTGTCAGCTTCCTGTGCTGGCCTGAGCAGCCTGAGGACAGAGCCTAGGGCTCCTCTCAGTGAACGTCCAGAACCTAGTATAGAGGCCAGAGGGGGAGCTTTAGATAAAGATGTGGACTTGTTGAATAATTGAGTAATTCTGTGTCTCTCTAATTTCTATTGTACCCACTGTTTTTTGAAATTGTTCAAGACAGAATGTAATTAAATGCGCTAAGAGAGTCACAGAGTCAGGGAATGGGGGAAGGTCTTTTAGGAGCAGGGGGTAAGTGAAAGGAGTGATGGCCAGCTTGGAGGTCCCGCGGACTTGAAGAAGCTCCTTGGCCCCCTCCAGGACACGCAGGACATCCTGGGGCAAAGGGCATTCCAGCGGTGAGGTCAGAGTCACATGCTGGGAGGCAAGCCCCGTGAGGTCAGGGACCTTCTCTGTCTCCTCCACTGCTCTCTGCTCTGTACCGTGCCCGGCATATGGGAAGTCCTCAATAAATGTTGCTGGAATGAACACATAAGAGCAGGGAAGCATGGGGGCCGCCATGTCAGAAGAGCGAATAGTTCAGTTTCTTGGAACACAGGTTCCAAGCAGGGAAGGCAAAAAGCGGGGTGAGGAGTAGATTGCAGGGCCTCCTGAATGACTGACCAAGGAGTTCAGGCATGATGGGGAGAAAAGCGTCATCCCTTCTGAAATAGTCACCAGTTAGAAAGGAGGGGTTGTCGGTGAAGAGACACAGGGGCTCCAGAAATCAGCCCCCCTTTGCTGGGACTCTGGTAGCACCTCGTATTAGTCCTTGACTGGGCTAATGTATCTGAAGGAGTGATGCCCTCCCAGCAGCTCCCAGAAGAGGAAGGCTGGATGGTGTAGCCATCCAGCCTTCCTGGACTGATGCCAGTGCTGGGGAGGGGTGGAGCAGTGTTTCTGGGACACCTGCTTCTACCAAGACCGCAGGCCCAGTGCACGTGTTCTTCCTGCAGCTCTTGGGCCCCTGGTCCAGCCCCATCCCTCCAGTCCTCATGGCCTGGGTGCCCACAGGTATATAGCACACACAGTTCATTCATTTTAGCCTGACAGTGAAACTCCTGTAACCCCTCAGGAGATCCTGAAACAGATCCCATACTTTCTTATGTGTGTGATGACGGATCCCGAGAGGCTCCTAATGTGTTAGGAGAATACATGTCTTTGTCCTCAGAAGCATTTCTCTGAACCATTCTTCCTTGTTGCCAGCCAAACGAAAGCAGATGGTCGCCTTCTCTGAAGGGCTCAATATTCATTCATTCGTTGGTTCTTTCCTCTGAGTGCCTACGTGTAGGCATAGTTCTAGGCACCAGGGATGCTGACCACAACAAAAAACAAAAAACAAAAAACCCTGCCTACTGCAGTTTACAGGAGTGAGCAAATAAATGAGTTAGAATATTTGGTGCGTCAGAAAGTGGGAAGTGCTAAGCGGTGGGGAGAATGGCAAGTGGGGCAGGGGGCGGGTGCAACTTGTTAACTTAAAGGGAGGCTCGGGGAGCTCGCAGAGAGAGTGACATGGCCCTGTGGGGTGACCGGGGAGCCCCAGGCTTCTTGGAGTGAGTGGTAAGCAAGAAGCGGATTATTCTTGATGTTTTCATGGCAGACAGTGGTGGCCAAGCTGTTACCCCTGCTGTTTAAGTGTCACCTGTGAGCTGGGGACAGCACGACCAGTCCAGCGTGGCGCCCCTGTGAGTTGCTGGGTTTCTGGGCCGTGGGTCCACACAGTCACAGCCGCACCCCGCAGCCGGGTCCCCGGGGCGTTCTTCTGTTAGCGCTGCAAGGGGGAGTAAATGGGGAAGAAAGTGCACGCTCCCGTGCCAGCAGGAGCTGGGTGAGACCCTGTCTAACTAAGGCGGAGCTCAAGAACGCGCCAGAGTCGGCTTTACCGAATGAACAAGGCGCAGCACCAACGGGTGTGTTAGGACTGACGTTCAAGGACTAGTTGCCGACAAAGTTTTAAGTTGGAAGACTGATTATCCTGAACTGGCAAATGAAGCCTTAGATGTACTGATCTGGGCGCCCCCCACCCCGGTTTTATCGAGATATAACCAAACCACCGCACTAAGTGTAAGGTGTATAAGCAACATGATGACTTGACATACAGATCCTACAACATGCTCGTGTGCTCAGGCACTTTCTGCCTTGGCACAATGGAAGTCTGAATATAAAAATACGCTTTTTTCAGCAGAGAGAATCATTATAATTTAATTTACAACACCGAATCAAGTAACTTAAAAGAGATCACTTTTAACAAAAATACCAGAACTAAGACATAAAAGTGAATGTTTTCTTACAAAGTACTTTGCTTGGGAAACTGTACATTTCTAAAGTAGCCACTGGTCAAAGAAAGCTAGGATTAATCTTGCAGAGTTGCTCTTAGGTCCTGTGACACAAGTCTTAGGAGTAATTTCAATAATGAGAAGTCTTTGTCTTTTGTGAATGAATTTGCTCGTTGGAAATAAATGCCATTCTGAGCCATGCCTTCTGAACTGGATCAAGTCAAGATGGGTACAGCCATGTCTTGCTCAAAAAATAATATGACTGAGAAACATCTGATATTAAAAACATGTTTTTAAAAAATAGAGCGCCTGGGTGGCTCAGTTGGTTGGGCGACTGCCTTCGGCTCAGGTCATGATCCTGGAGTCCTGGGATCGAGTCCCGCATCAGGCTTCCCGCTCAGCGGGGAGTCTGCTTCTCCCTCTGACCCTCTTCCCTCTCATGCTTTCTGTCTCTCATTCTCTCTCTCTCTCTCAAATAAATAGATGAAATCTTTAAAAAAAAAAATAAGAAATAGGGTTGCAGGTCTGAAGCCTCCTCATAGCTTGAGATTACATTAGAGCAACATAATATCATTCACAACCTTAACCTAAAGCAACGTTAAGTGAATGTAACTAAGGATATTGATGTGAATTTTTATTGGCTTTTTAGGGATTTTATATTTAATTTACAAATATGTTTTGGTTTTAGTAATTTAAGAGCTTTAGTAGATAAAGGTGTTTTTACTCTATGTGTTAGTATGCGTAATAAGCAATATAATAAAAATTATTAATAAATGTCCATTTTACTTATTTTGTTCCTTAGGAAGGAATTTAGTATTTGAAGATGAAATCACTGCATTGCAGCCTGAAGTTGATAAGCTAAAAACTCTAAATGTGAACAAAATTATTGCACTGGGACACTCTGGTTTTGAAATGGATAAACTCATCGCTCAGAAAGTGAAGGGCGTGGACATCGTGGTGGGAGGACACTCCAACACATTTCTTTATACAGGTAATTATTTCAAAAGGATTATACTGGCCAGGATGTCTAGATAACTTACTTTGTCTCTTTGTAACTGTTATCATTTTTACTCCTATTTAACACATAATATATATTACATATATTTTGTAATATGTAATATATATGTAATACACATAATAACATGTAAATTGTATTCAGAGGCATTAAGAGTTAATATATTGGTTTCATGATTATGTCAATTCTATTTATTTATGTATATTATAAATATATATAAAATATGTATAAAATACACATTTATAGTGTATAAAAAGATTACTGAGCCCCAGCCAAAAATCAGCTTACATCAAAAAGCAACATATCATATAAAAATTTTTAAGTATAGGATCACCTGGGTGACTCAGTCGGTTAAGCATCTGCCTAAGCATTCGGCTCAGGTCATGATCCCAGGGTCCTAGGATCGAGCCCCGCGTAGGGCTCTCTGCTCAGTGAGGAGCCTGCTTCTCCCTCTCCCACTCCCCCTGCTTGTGCTCTCTCGCTTGCACTATCTTTCAAATAAATAAATAAAATCTTTAAAAAAAATTTAAGTGGGGCACCTGGGTGGCTCAGTCATTAAGCTTCTGCCTTCGGCTCAGCTCATGATCCAGCTCATGATCCCGGGGTCCTGGAATCGAGTTCCGCATCGGGCTCCCTGCTCGGCGGGAGGCCTGCTTCTCCCCCTGCCGCTCCCCCTGCTTGTGCTCTCTGTCTCCCTCTCTGGTAAATAAATTAAATAAAATCTTTAAAAATAATAAATAAAATAATTTTAAGTATAAACAAAATAATGTAAATAAGGCCTTCACGTGTCAGGGTGACAGATTTGATTTTGTAGGTTCGCAGGTAGCAGGGGCTGGACTCTGGGCTCAAGTCCTAATTCTTCTTCATACTAGGACCGTGCATTGGAAGTCGGAGGCCCCGATGCTCCTGAAAGCATGTCCATTCCCCTCCCTCCCTCTCCCTCTCTTCCTCCCCTACCACTTTCCCTCCCACCCTCCCTCCCTCTTTCTCTCTCTCCTTGATGTTTGGTAGTTTTAGTTAGAAAAGCTCTTTGTTTCCCTTCTATGTTGAACTTATAATGTCCCAAAACTTTTGAGTCTGGCTGGCTTGGTGAGTCTCTCCTACCATGCCACCCCCCGCCCCCGTACCCGCCCCCCCACTACTGCATGGAGATTTGAAGGACTTTTAAGAGAAGGAAGAGGAGGAGGAAGGTTTCCTGGTAACTGACTGTTACCGGCTAGTGGGAAGGAAGGCTTTGGCAGGGAACACCCCTGTCCTTGAAGAGGTTGCTGCTTCACCCACCTCCGTATGGCCTCAGGTGATCCTATTTTTATAAAAGCAAAAAAAAAAAAAAAAAAATACCCAAAAATGTTAAAAGGGGGCACCCTGGTTGCTCAGTCAGTTGAGTGTCTGCCTTCAGCTCAGGGGTCCTGGGATCGAGTGCCTCCCCGGGCTCACTGCTCAGTGCGGAGCCTGCTTCTCCCTCTGCCCCTACCTCCACTCGTGTGTGCTCTCTCTCTCCACTCCCCAATACATAAAATTTTTTTAAAAATGTTAAAGGGGTTATCACAAAAAAAAGCATACAGGTAATTTTCACTCTCTTCTTAGCACTTTTGAGTATTTTCAAATGAACGCATGTTGCTTTTGCAATCAGAAAGAGAGACACAAATTATAAAAAGAAAAGAAAGAAACAATATTGGGTCCAAAGTCTTCCTTCCTGATTCACGTCAGAGACCATGAGCAGGTCACTCACCCTCTCTGAACCTGTTAGCTTTGCTTCAAAATTGGGGTGATAACGCTCCAAGTGCCCCATTGTTGTGAGAATGACGTGAGGTGGTATATGTATGCGCGGGAGAACACTGTATAAACTGTAGAGGGCCATGTCCTGGCGGGCAGCGAGGTGGAGGCTGCCCACCCGTCCAGACAGACCAGTCCGACTGTGGACGCTGGTGAACTCCTTCACAAGGTGGGGCTGACCTTCTCTTTAGAAAAGAAAACCATGTTCACATGGTTTTGACTCCTTCCTCACACAGTTCCCTCGTATGTGTTTTACCTCTTGGTAGACACAGGCTAGAGAATCATTTCACACTGGGTGATTCGCATTAGTGGTTGTGAAATCAATGTAGTGGGTCAAAAGCTTTTAATGGACTAGACTACAGTAGGTGAGGCACTTACGTCACTCACAGGAGTAAGTATTTGTCTCGTGGAAAAAGCTGTCTGTGAGTGATGAGGACAGTGCCCATGCCTAGCAGGCGGTAGGTCTGTGTGTCAGGACAGTGGCAGGTGCTGACAGTGAGGGGACTTGCTTAGCGTGAGCAGTGTCGCAGCCAGATGTCTGAGAGCCACTTAGGTAACTCCAGGGCAGCTAGAGGGGAGAGAGCGCCGGAGCGGGGAGAGCCTCACGGGGTAAGTCATGGGGCGGCGTGGGGCGAGCTGGAGACTCGGCCGTCGGGCTGGCTGGGCCACTGCTGGGGGCTCCTGTCTCCGCCTGATCTCCTCAGCAGCAGAATGAGGATGGAAACAACCTGATGAGAAAGGTCACGGTGACTTCACATCTGGAATGGACGGCTGGAGGTGAGGCGCCGCAGGACAGGGCCTCGTATCCGAGCGTCCTTACTCCAGGCTGTCCCAGCTCTGTGGATGAGACCTGTGAACAACCCTTCCCTGGAGCCTCTGCTTAGCTTCTGTCTGAGGTGGTGTCAGAAACCAGGGGCACACGGTGCGAGCTAGATGTGTGCCTCCAGCCCCTTCGTCCTGGGGAGCGGTGGCCTCACGCTGTACTGAATTCAATCCCGAGTGAGAAAAGCATTGTAGATGAAGACCCAGCACACACCCACAAACACACAGAGTCACACACACACAGTCTCACACACACAGAGTCACACACACAGTCACACACACACACACAGTGACACACACAGACACACAGACACAGTCACAAACACAGTCTCACACACACACACACACACACACACACACACACTGAACTTTCACAAAGAACCTGGAGTGCACCCTGGTTCTGTACTGTTTCATTTTTTTTTAAGTGTCAGTTACCACCCATTAGATTAATTTTCTCATATTGTAGCTGGCCCACATTTTGAAAAACTCAGCTCTGAATGAAGCAGGACCAAAACAGCACATAAACAATCAAAGGAATCCACCCTCTCCATTCACATGCTAAAGTCATTCCCCTGTTCTTCACGATGTGCCTTTACACCATCTTAACCACTGCCTCTTCCAGCACCCATTGGCCGTCCATGGCCTTGCCGTGTGACCAACAATTAGTGTGCCCTGCTGGGCCTGAGAAGTTTCGGCGACCATGCCCGGCTTCCCATTAATGCTGCAGCGTGACCTTTTGTCCCTGTCACTTTGTTGCAGCCAGTGAGGTCCTGCAAAACACTGTGTGCCTCTTGCCAAGTAACTGAGTTTTGTTAATGGTGAATGACTGGATGAAAGAAAGATTTGGCAATAAAAATTGGGATTTTTTTATACATAAATCTTGAAGTAGATCATTACAGTCTCTGAAAGAACTGCCTCTAAAGTTTTAGTCACTTATTTCACATTTCATGGTTGCTTAGCAAGACTGCTGTTCCCACAAACTGGTTCTCATGAAAATATTCAATTTTGATACTTATCATTTTGAGGGATGAAGTTAACAATTAAAGGTAATTCCAAGACAAAGGAGGAGATGAGGCATATTTGCTTGTTTAAATAAGTTTTCACAACCTTAAACTCCTCTGAATTGTTTTTGGAATTAGCATAACCTAACTTGAGGTTAAATATGATTTGTTAATAAAAGTGTAGTTAAAATAATTCATCCCGGGCACCTGGGTGGCTCAGTCAGTTAAGCAATCTGCCTTCAGCTCAGGTCATGATCCCGGGATCCTGGGATCGAGCCCCACGTCGGGCTCCCTGCTCAGTGGGGAGCCTGCTTCTCCCTCTGCCTGCCACTCCCCCTGCTTGTGCTCTCTTTCTTTCTCAAAAATAAATAAAATCTTTAAAAAATAATAATAATACATCCTCTGGAATTTTATATCTTGCCATGCACAGAACCCAACACACACACACACACACACACACACACACACACACCTGAAAGACAATTTCACGAAGCATCCAGATTGCACCTGATATTTTCTGTTCCATTATTTAATTTGTTTAATGCTGGTTTTCCTCTATTAAATTAACTTCATTGTACTGTAACTAGCCCATATTTTTTAAAAAAAAACTCAGCTTTCAGTGAGGCATGACTGAAACAGTACATTAACTGCACCCCCAGCCTGCCCGCCTCCCTCCCCGACAAATGTTGAACGTTATTCCAGGTTCTTCTGAGTGCAGCCATTGTGTACATGCAGCTAACCTAGTATTGCCTGACCATGCTCATGTTGGAATGAAGGGGGGAAGATGTCCACCCGACTATGCTTACAGAATCTTAAAGTTTCAAGGGGTGAGAGCTAGTTCCCACATGTTTTCTCTATAGGAATGAAATCCTAGAGTCACGAACTGGTCTGTGTTGTTGCCTTTGGGGAAGAACGTATGTACTAAAGGGAGAGCAGATTGAAAGCTGAAGCAGGTGGGCCGGGGGACCCTACGCCCCGTGCGGCCCTCGAAGGCACACTCAGTGTGCTGTTTGCCTCCCGCTGTGTGAACTGAATTTTGGATCGTGCCGGTCAAGCTCCCTGTGGCCTTGGGTGAATGGAGACATCAGTTTCTGTATCTGCAGAATAGCAGGGTTAGAACTGCCAAGTCTACGACCCCCTGCATTCTAACATAGACTGTTCCCCAGAAAGTCATCCATGCAAAGAGCCTGATTGCTTACTTTCCAGACTTTGGGGAAATAAAACTTTTTTTTGTAGAACAACTTATGACTTCCTTAGGTTACTGCTGGGGACTTCATTATACCTCTAACTTCTTGGAGGTTCCTACCTCCAGGCTCTACCACCCTGGCCCCTCCTTCTTGCTGTCATCGAATGGTCTCTAAGCCACTCCCCAGCATC